CTCTTCCACTACTCAAGCACGGTTCCCTCCCACGGGCAGCAGTCTTTCAGGATAAGCTGGAACCAACATGGTCTCTCCATGGGCTGCATTTCTTCAGGGTATACCCACTCCACATACCCTGTCGTGGGAGCCTCCAGGGGCTGAATGTGTATCTGCAGAGGGACAGCTTGCCTCTCATGGTCCTGTCCATGGGCAGCAGGGGAATATCCAATCCAGCACATGGAGCAGCCCCTCCCTTTCCTTCTCTGGTCCTACGTGTTGCAGGATTGTTTCTTACTCTTTTCCTCACTCCTCACTGCTGGTCTGTGTTTTCACTATTTCTTAAATATCTTTTCCCAGAGAAGCCAACAGGATTGCTGAAGAGCTGAGCTGTGTCCTGTGGTGGGTCCTTTGGAGGACCTGGAACTGGCTTTCCCCAGGTCAGAGCAGATTGACCTTGTCTCACTGAGACTCCCACAGACCCCACAGCTACCAGCACTCAGCCTGAGCAACCTGTATATCAGCCTGAGGGTCACTGTGAGATGAAAGAGGGACTCTATTCCATGCCACATGTCGCACAAAACCCTACTCCCGGGTGTTTTTCTGAGCTAGGGTGCTTTGAGAAAAGCCAGTCTCAGTAAGATATTAAAGCAGTCCAGGAGAGCAGTCACGCAGAGCAGGAGAATCATGTTCTTGCATGAAGTGGTGCAGAGAGAGGACACGCAGGGCTGGCAAGGGAAATGGGCTCTGCACCCACCTCTGCACCCTGTGGCCATTCCTGCATCGCTGCTTGTACATCAGTAACCAGCGCTGGTGAGTGACAGTGATTACCATGTTCACACACCAGTTATCAACCGCTGCCAGACAATGATACAGCTCATAATGTTACAAAGTGCAGAGCCCCAGCAGAAAGAAATGTAAACCAAACTAGAGAGAAACATGTTGTTTCATTCAGTTGTTTCAGTCAGCAAATATCAAAGCACATCAGTAAGGTTTCCAGAATTGTTATTTCCCTTTGGATCCAGCCCATGTACCAAGTCTAAATGAACTTCTTATTGACAATAATTTAGCTCAAGGAATTATCAAAATGAAATTATAATAGTAATTATTTTAACTCATTAGAATTTAGTTAAAAGAATATGCATGAAACTTTCTTTAATGATGAAGAGAGAACATCTGTATCTGGCTGGAGAGTTGAAAGAGAGATTAAATGACTTGTTTTCTACAGTGAAAGATCAACATTGTACATGGGCTCCAGCTTTTCTTACAGTTCCTACCTCATGCAAACCTTGCACTTCACACAGGATAGAATCCTTAGAAGGGTCTTTTCCAGTTTGGGATTGCTGAAAATCAGAGTAAGGGAATGAACAACAGGAAATGCATACAGAGATACATAATTAAGAAATATCATAGGATTTTGCACCTCTGTTGCATAAATCAGTGTCAAGATCAAAGATATAAAGTTGATGCTGTACATCATGAAGAAGGAGAGAATAGATTTCATGGCTTTGATGTGGGCATCCATGCTGAGATTCTTCATGGAGTTTGTCTCCATTGTGCGTTTGTGTCTCCAGAGGGAAAAGAGAAGGAGAAGGGCAGAAAAGGTGACTGTCATGAATGAAATGGCAAATTCCATGCCTATGATAAAAAACATAGGAAAAAAATGTTCCTTCACTCTGATACTTGATTTCCAAGCAATTCCATGGCAGGTGAAATTGAGGTTATGACAGATAGCTTTATCAATAATGTTGTAAACAAGGATGCCAATAAGCAGGGAGAAAAGCACTGACCCCAGCAAGAGCCATGGCACAATCCTGTCAATTTTTACTTTCAGGTAGATGAAGAAGCTGTTCCTGAAATTGGCAATTTTGATACAGTAAAAAACACAAAGACTGGCAGAAACCCACAAGTTGGAACAAATAAAAAAGCTTCGAATACCTTCAACTATTTGAAGTGTTGGGTGAACACAAAGGTATTCGGGATAAATTATTGCGAGAAAGGAGTATACCCATGAGATACACAAATACCAAAATCTGAACCATCCCAGAAGCAGCAAGATCTTCTCACTAGAGTTTAAGCTTTTCTCTTTGACCCAAGCAATACAAAGCACAGAGACAATGAAAGCATTTATCCACAGGCCAGCAAAAGTCTCAAGGGTGATGATGGCCACAGCCACGATGCTGTATGAAGTGCCATTGGATTGCTCTGTAGAGTGACAAGCTTCCATCCTCCGAGATGGGGAGCAGTGCTGTGCTGGACAAAGGGGCTGTTACACCAATGCCTTACACAGGTCAGCGGTTGCTGTTCGCAGAGTGTCACGTATGGAAACAGGAGCTTTATAGAGCTGGTGTTGGTGGGGATTTTGGTGCCGCTCCTCTTGAGAGCAGGGCAGGTGCAGGGATGTAAATGTGCTGGGTATCCCCTTACCTGGTGTCAGTGCCACTCTTCACTATTTGAATTTTGGTTCAGGAGGGCAGTGTTTGGTGTCACAAACAACGGAGATGTTTTTCTGCCTTGGACAGTGTTGTGATTTCATGACTGACCCATGTTTGATCGCTGTCAGGATTCAGGGTCTGGCTTCTCTTGTTTCTTTGTTTCATGGAGGTGGAAGAAGGCATCTGTAGTGTGTTTTGCTGGTGCTGCATTGATTTGTGTGTTTAGATCTGTAAAATGTTGTTTTTGCCTGCTGAGTCTTGTGGTATGTGAAGCTGTGAGGGATGATGTTGCTTGGCATGTAGGGAATAGAATAAATTTTCCAGGGTTTACTTTTGAAAGAGATTGGGACTGCCATGTTAAAGGTTGAAGTGCACAAGCAGCAGCATGGAAGGAAGGGAGGTGTTGTCCCTTGTTCCTGTCCTTTCAACGCCTTTCACTGAGGAGATGTGTCTATATGAAATTCTTGAGATCTGCCTATGGACCTGAGCTGGAGTCTGAAATTAGCAATTCAAGTTCTGCTCTGTGCATACTGCAACTATTTCATGTTTAGAGCTTGTGCTGTGGAGGGTTGACTTTGGGCTCCTGCCTGACCCCTATCCAGTTCCTCTTTCACTCTCACTCGTAACAAGAGCAGGGATGGAAAACAGGATGAAAAAGCTCATGGGTCAAGATAAAGATGGGGAGATCACTCACCAGTTACTGTCACAGAAAAAAGAGACTTGACATGGGGAAAATGAATTTAATATATTGCCCATTGTAGGTAGAGTAATATGATGAGAAACAGGGAAAACTAAAACTCCTTGCCTTCACCCTTCCTTCATTACACAACAAAATTCACTTCTTTATTCCCAGCCTCTCCATCTCCTCTCTCACTTGGTCAGAGAGGGACTGAGAATGGAGTTTGGTGTGAGATTATAATGTCGTCTCCTCTACTCCCTCCTCTTCATATTCCTGCCATTCTCAAGCATGGATCCCTGTCATTCACTGCAGTGCTTCAGGGATAAACTGCCTCCAGTGTGGGCTCTGCATGGGCTGCAGTCCCTCAGTGTAGAGCCACCACACCTGCAGTGCCATGGGGTCTGGATGGCCACACAGCTCTATTGGGGTCTTACACACATTGCACACAGATTGAATGGCTTCCATCAGAGCTTGGTTCAGGCTGAACCTCTTTCCTCTCCAGAATCTCTTTCTTTCTTCTTTTATGACATGGGGAATCCCAGATCATTAGCCTAGCTTAGCTAACTAATTAGGCTATTAGTTGTTTAAGTTTGGCCACATCTATTACACCTCTATGTCAACTTCAATGCCCTAGCATGCTGATGCCATTAACAGCTGGAGAGGAATGCTCTGAGAAACTACTCCCAAGGAAGAACATTTTCCATCTCCTCTATCCCAGCTGACAGCCTGGGAAATAAGACTTCTCATTATGGAATCTTTGTGTTACTTGCATTAGATACAGCCTGGTTTTGTCCACCTCTCCAGGCTGCTCTTGTTTCATTTGCTATTGAGTTTTGCTGCAATAATGCCTTTGTTACTGCTGGCCAGACTGAGTGGCACAGCACTGCCCCAGCACACGTTGTTTCCAATGTGCCAGCCCCAGTGACTGCTGGGATGCTGATGAGCAGCCAATTTACCTGGTATCCATAAATCTGGCTGAGGCCTCTTGAAGATGAAGTCAGGAAATCCTAATCTCAAGAACCTTTATATTGATCTCCTGCACCCTTCCTGCCTTACCTCTTCTTAACAGTCGCAGCTCAGAACACACAGGGAGGAAATGCAAATATTTTACATGTTAAAAGGTTCAGAGCATCCTCTCCTCTTGTTTTATTCTAATTTAGGCACTATTTTAAATTTTGAACAATTTAGGAGTAAAAACTGAGAGTAAATCAATATTAAAATTCTATGGATATCTCCTGTGTTTATAGTTCTGAGATGCCAAAAAATTTGAAGCTTGTTATTAAGGGCATTATATATATAGTAAGCTCACATGGTGCAGCAGAATGTCTGTGCGGAGCTGGTGGCTTTGCTCCATACTCTCAACTGGGACAGCACTGCACTGATGTGACAGAGCTGCTGTATTACAGAAAAATTTTTTTTTCTTATATTTCCTTATATTCAAGAAAGAAGACAGAGAAACCAGCTTGTTTTTGGGAGAACTACACAGAGGAAAAATGGAACAAGAAGAGGGAAGCATTAGTGTGTTCTCTCTTTTTGGTAGCTTCTGGTGGTGTCTCTCTTTTCTTGGTGGTGGAGTGTAGTTGCTACTTCTGGCTGAAGGAGAGACATTGAAGTTGAGCTTTCACTGGACACATGGGTCTAACAGCCTGAATAGCCCATTGCTGGCCCAGCAAAAGGGAAACATGTTTCTTCCTTACTGCTTTCAGTCAGCTGTGTCTGCAGAGAGACTTGGAGCACAGCCTTATTTTTAGCAGTGCCCCCAGACATTTTTATGTCCCTGCACAGTCACTACTGGGGTTTGCAGGGCTCCATCATGGGCCCAATGCTCTTCAACATCTTCATAAATGACTTGGACACTGGACTTGAAGGGATACTAAGCAAGTTTGCAGATGATACAAAATTGGGAGGAGCTGTTGACAGCCTCGAAGGAAGAGAGGTCTTGCAGAGAAATCTTGATAAATTATGTGGCTAGACAATGACCAACAGAATGAAGTTTAACAAGGGCAAGTGCCAGATTCTGCATCTGGGATGGGGCAACTCTGGATGTACATACAGACTGAGGAATGAGATGCTGAATAGTAGTGCTGCCAAAAGGGACTTGGGCGTCCTTGTTGATGACAAGCTGAATATGAGTCAACAGTGTGCCCCGGCACACAGGAGGGCCAACTGTGTCCTGGGATGCATCAGACAAGGCATTGCCAGCTGAGTGAGGGAGGTGATTGTCCCCATCTCCTATGTGCTGGTGTAGCCTCACCTTGAAGACTATGTGCAGTTTTGGGCACCACAATATAAGAGAGATACAAAGCTGTTAGGGACCATCCAAAGTAAGGCTATGAAGATGGTGAAGGGCCTTGAAGGGAAGCCATATGAGGAGAGGCTGCGGTCACTTGGTCTGTTCAGCCTGAAGAGGAGGAGGCCGATGGAAGACCTCATTGCTGTACACAGCTTCCTCACAGCGGGAAGTGGAGGGGCAGGTACTGATCTCTTCTCTCTGGTGACCAGGGACAGAACCCCAAGGAATGGACTGAAGTTGTGGCCTGAAGGTTAAGGTTAGATATTAAAACAAAGGTTTTTCACCCAGAGGGTGGTCGGGCACTGGAACAGGCTCCCCAAGGAAGTGGTCAGTTACTGTCACAGACCAAAACAGACTCAATTTGGGGAAAATGAATTTAATTTATTGCCTCTTGAAAATAGAGCAGGATGATGAGAAACAAACACAAACCTAGAACCCCTTGCTTTCCCCTCCTCCTTCATCACAGGCTGAAATTAATTCCTAACTTTCCCAGCTTCTACATTTCCTCACCCACAGTGACAGAGTGGGACAGGGAATGTGGGCTGTAGTCAGTTCATAACAAGTTGTCTCCTCCACTACTTCCTCCTCACAGTCTGCCCGTGCATGAGCATGGGTCCCTCCCATGGGCTGCAGTCCTTCAGGATAAGCTGGTTCCAGCATGGGGTCTCCATAGGCTGCAGTCCTCAAAGATGCACCCACCCCACCTGCTCTGTCTGCCAAAGAGTGATGCAACTGATATTATTACACAGTACAGAGCCACAGCAGAAAGAAATGTAAAGCAAAACAGAGATAAACCAGTTGTTGTTTCAATCAGCAGATACCAAAGTGCTTGAGGAAGATTTGCAGTTTTGTTGCACTTTTGCATCCAGTCCATGTACCAGGCCTAGATGAATTTCTTATTGATGATAATTTATCTCAAAGAATTATCTGGGTGAAATTATAATAATAATTGTTTTAATTTAGTTCAAAGAACATGCATGATGCTTTCATAACTACCATGGTGAAGAGCGAACATCTGTATCTACACTGGCTGGAGAGTTGAAAGAGAGATTAAATGACTTGTTTTCTATAGTGAAAGATCAACATTGTGCATGGGCTCCAGCTTTTGTTGAAGTTCCTTCTTTATGCAAACCTTGCATTTCACACAGGATAGAATCCTTAGCAGTGTCTTTTCCAATTTGGGATTGCTAAAAATGAGAGTAATGGAATGAACACCTGGAAAAGCATCCTGAACTATGAAAATTAGAAACGTCATGCTATTTTGACTATTCAATGCATAAATCAGTGTCAAGATCAAAAATATAAAGTTGATGCTGTACAATATGAAGAAGGAGAGAATAGATTTCATGGCTTTGATGTGGGCATCCATGCTGAGATTCTTCATGGAGTTTGTCTGCATCATGCATTTGTGTCTCCAGAGGGAAAAGAGAAGGAGAAGGGCAGAAAAGGTGACTGCCACAAATGAAGTGGAAAATCCCAAGCCAGTGATAAAAAAAACTGGGAAAAAATGTTCCTTCATTCTGATACTTGCTTTCCAAGCGATTCCTTTGCAAGTGAAATTGAGGTTATGACAGATAGCCTTATCAAGTGTGTCGTAGGCAAGGATGGCAATAAACAGGGAGAAAACCACTGACCCCAACAAGAGCCATGGCACAATCCTGTCAATTTTTGCTTTCAGGTAGATGAAGAAGCTGTTCCTGAAATTGGCAATTTTGATGCAATAAAAACCACAAAGACTGGCAGAAACCCACAAGTCAGAAAAAATAAAAAAATTTTGAGTAGCTGTAACTACTTGAAATATGGGATGAACACAAAGGTATTCGGGACAAATTATTGCGAGAAAGGAGTATACCCATGAGATACACAAAAACCAAAACCTGCAGCATCCCAGAACCAGCAAAATCTTCTCACTGGAGTTCAAGGTTTTCTTTTTGACCCAAGCAATGCAAAGCACAGCGACAATGAAAGCATTTATCCACAGGCTAGCAAACACCTCCAGAGTGATGATGGCCACAGCCACGATGCTGTATGAAGTGCCATTGGATTGCTCTGTAGAGTGACACACTTCCATCCTCCGAGATGGGGAGCAGTGCTGTGCTGGACAAAGGGGCTGTTACACCAATGCCTTACACAGGTCAGCGGTTGCTGTTCGCAGAGTGTCACGTATGGAAACAGGAGCTTTATAGAGCTGGTGTTGGTGGGGATTTTGGTGCCGCTCCTCTTGAGAGCAGGGCAGGTGCAGGGATGTAAATGTGCTGGGTATCCCCTTACCTGGTGTCAGTGCCACTCTTCACTATTTGAATTTTGGTTCAGGAGGGCAGTGTTTGATGTCACAAACAACGGAGATGTTTTTCTGCCTTGGACAGTGTTGTGATTTCATGACTTACCCATGTTTGATCTCTGCCAGGATTCTGGATCTGTGTTTTTCTCTTCCTTGGTCACCTATGATGCTCACTCAGAGTGGCGTGTGCACTAAGATGGGGGATTTTGGTGCAAGGAACAAATTCAGGGAATCCTAATCCAAAGAACATGCATCCTGATCTCCTGTATCTTTTGTGACTTGTCTCTTCCTAACTGTCCCATCTCAGCACAGACTGTGAGGTTATGCATATATTTTATAATCAAAATGTTCTGGGCATTATCCTTGTTTTCATCTAATTTTAGGAACTATTTTACATTTTGAACAATTTAGGAGTAAAAATTAATAGCAAGTTTGTGTTAGAATTTTATGCATCACTCCTGTATTTACTGGCCCCAAGCTCAAGGTTGGCAATATGTGAAATTATATTATAACATGCAATGAAGTTACCCAGTGATACCTGAGCAATGTCCTGGCTGTCCAAATGCCAGTTTATTTGTCTCAGCACTATCGGTTTATGTAACAAAAGGTAAACCTCTGCCAGAATTACTCTAGTCAGGGAATTTTGCTAACAGCCTCCTGCTCTTTCATCCTGGTAGATAATTTTTATACATTTGCCTAATTTTTATGCACACTTATTCATTCTTTCTATCTAGAATTATAGATATTTATAATCCTTTAATAGCAGAGCAACTGCTGTTGCTATCCTCTGCCGTGTTTTTCAGATCTGAATGCTAGCAGTGTTAACCTGCAGGCATTCAACATGTTCAGTCTTGTGTTGATTTCAGGCCTTATGAAGGGGGACAAACTTACCTCAAATCTGAGAAGCTGGATGAGCAATATTTTCTTAACAATGTGGTTTGTACCACTTTGATATGACAGTTTTTCCAACTCAGGAGACATTTGTTTTCATTCTTGACTGTACAATGGCCATAAATACCTGAGCCACATTTTTTTCTCTGTGGGCATTTATTTTACATGGGAGTTAAAACCGATGCAAGCAGAGTAGCAAAAGGTATTATCTGCATTTAGTGACACCAGCTAGTACCTGTGTCTAGGATTCTGGGGTAGATCTGCCCTTTGGTGTGGGAAGACTGATGCACAGCAATTTTTGGCACTTCATACAATGCAGTGTAGGAGGCTATAAGGCCCCTGATGTACTTTCCTGCACTCTTATCTTCTGCTACTCCCCTTCCTATATTAGTTGAGGTGGGGCTATCCGGAGTTGAAGCACAATAACATTACCCATCACCAACTTCTCTACAGGAACTGCAGCCAGTTGAAGAGCATGCATGCGGTGCCCTCCAGGGAGGGCAAAATGAAACTGCTGCTGGATCACCTCTTCTATGGAGACAGGCTGTGAGAGCTGAGGTTATTCAAATTGGAGAAGGGAAGACCTTAGATCCCCTTCCAGTGCCTAACGGGGCCACAAGAGAGCTGGAGAGGGACTTTTTACAAGGGCATGGAGTGATAGAACATGGGGGAATGGCTTTAAACTGATACAGGACAGGTTTAATTAGAGAAGAGGAAGGAATTATTTACTGTGAGGGTGCTGAGGCACTGAAACAGGTTGCCCAGAGAAGTTGTGGCTGCCCCATCCCTGGAAATGTTCAAGGCTGGGTTAGTTGGGGCTTGGAGAATCCTAGTGTAGTGGAAGGTGTCCCTGCCCATGGTAGAGGGCTTGGAACAAAATGATCTTTGAAGGTACATTCCAAACCAAATAATTCTATGATTCTGTGATTCTATGAAAAAATAACAATAATAGGACAACATTGGGTTTGGTACAGAATAAAATCCTAGAGATACGGAATTCTAGATGATAAAAATATTTAAAACTTTTGTGGAAGTGTTCTTAGACAGATTATACTTTCAGGTCTCAAAGATCAGTCTACTTAGTGGTGTTCACATTTGCCACCACACTTATATCTCTTCTGACTTTAAAAAATTGTAGTTTGAAAAAGAAGAGTTTCTTTTTTTGCCTTGAAAAAATGGCAGAAAGAGTTCTGGATCCAAAACTTCTCTCCTGAAGTTGCAGTTTTTGTCAGGACTGTGTGCAGTCCCTCTGCTCTGTCAAAGGTGGCAAGGAAGAGAAGGGAAAGAAGGTGGAAAAGAGCTGCCTGGTGCAGAGGGTAGCCTGGCAGACAGGCATCCCTCTGTGGCATATGTCAGGTAACTGTATTCATCTTACCTAATGCTAGGTGTCCCAAAATGAACTTTCTAGACTCCTTGGTAAGCCATTTGGGAGCAACAGGTATTTCTGAAGAGCAGCTGATCCCATTCCATTATAGTGCAATGGAATCAGTGTGAATGTTATTGTGAGGAACTGTTTTTTTGTTGTGTTAATCTCCACCATCTGCAAAGGAATCCATCACTGATGACCAGTGGTGGGTGTGATCAATCCCACTACCCTTCTGAAGTGAATTTCCTTTGGAAAATGTCAGTTCCTGGAAACTGAAAACTCTCTGTATAAGTACATTATCATTAAACCAGACCTGACCCTAGTAGGGGTGTCAGAGCACTTGTCTCAGGTAGGAGAGGACAGTTGAGAGTACACTGTGATTATCCAGACTCCACACAGCTGAGGGCTGTGACAGCAGGCTATGAACTTTCCTGGCAGGAGCATTTCTCCTTTGCTCTTCACAAAAAAAAAAAAAGCAACCAAAAAAAACACAACCCCACAAACAAACAAAGCAAAAAACCAAACAAAATCAAAACCGTTGCAAAGTTCTTGTTTTCATTCCAGCACAGAATGGAGAAATTTCTGAAATGCCAGGAACTTTTGCAAGAAGGGAAAGCTGCTTCCCATGAATGCTTAACCAGGAGGAACATGTGCTACCTAATAAAAAAGTCTACATTTCTGGCATACAGGGTGGCCCAGCTTTTCTGCAGGTTGTATAGAGCATTCAGGACCTGCCAAGTCCCCTTTAGTAATAAGCAAAGTAGCTGAGGCCTCTTTGTGCTTTTCCTGACAGTGTTTTGGACTGGGAATAATTCACTTGGGAAAACACAGTCCTGCTGTGTCATACAGGTGCCAGTGGTCCCGAAAACATTTGCAGCTGCTAGGTGAAATTGCAATTAAGAAATTGAAAACCTTGTTAGGAGATTGCATTTACTCTCTAGCGATAAATGGGTTCAGCTTAATTTCTAGATATTAAATCTAATATGGCCACATTTATAAGGTCCAATGTCTCCATTTGAACATTCATTTTCATACCAAGGTACCTAAACGTCCAGGGATAGTGTTATATTGCCCTCTGATGAAAGCTGGATTTTGTCTCTGTACAACCACTGAGGCTCTGCCCCATTCCTCCCACTTCTCCACAGGCCTTTCCACCCTCTCTCCTCACCTCCTACCACAGTTTCAGACCCACCCTGACTCAAACCTCGCCTCTCTCTTCCCAGCTACCATGCACTACAATAATCCCAGGATGCCCTGCTAGGGTTGAGAAGGATGCAGATTGGAGCACCAAGCATGCTGCAGTTCTCTGCCCTTCCAGTTTCCCCTGCCACCACATTTGTCAGCCCAAGATACACGATAGAACTGTACTCCATGTATTAAACTAATTACATTTTTCTTTTCTTGCAAATCACCCCTTTGATTAGATCTGAAGTCCCAGTTTGTCCCTGAAGTGCCCTCAAGCCTCTTCACTACAAGTGCAGTCATCCATGACAGATAAAATATATTACTTCACTAAAGAAACTGTATTCCCTGGATTTTTAATTTTAAGAATTTGAACTAAGTTTCCCTGCGAATTTTGAGAGACTAAACACATAGGCTCTCCATGGTTTATTTTGGCCCAAACAGCAAAGTTCTGGGACACATTTGGGGATGCATACTTTGTGGAAGGTACTACATTGATGCATTAAATTGCATTTGTATAACATGAGACAGCTGCACAGCCATTGTCCTCGACAAACTCAAATATGTGTTCTCAGAATGAGTTATCTTTAGACATCCTTTTTAGGTTCTTGAGTTATTTTTAAATTAAGGCGACTAAAACCCCAGTATTTTTCAGACTGCTCTAATTTTGCTTTAATTGTTATGTTCCTTTCTCACCTCCATTGCTACATATCTGCAAATGTGGCCCCTGTGCTGTGTTTGGTCTCTCTTTGCTTGCCTGTGAAAACAGCCTTTACATGATGTACCTTGAGACATGCTTCTCTCTTACTAGTAGTGTGTGATGTTCAGCTTAGGTATCAGTGTCCTTTGAAATAATCATTCCTTAAGGGAAGTGTTGAAGAAGACACGTGTATGCTAGGTGACAGATCAGTCCTCTGGGGCCCTTCTTCTCAAAACAAGAAAAAATCTCTGTACTTTTTCCCCTGTAATGTGATCTCTTACAAATAGCTTCCTACTTTGATTTGTTTGGAGGAAAATATGTTGCTTAGGTTGAATGACTGACTCCTTTCTAGGGCAGGAACATTTCCCACTCAAACCGTACTTGCATTTGAGGCTTCTTCACACCAAATTCCGGTGTCTCCTGCCAACACTGCTGGGTGCAGTGTGTAAAGCACCTCCAGAGCACTTTTTCTTCTTCCTATTCAAGCCCTCTGTGTTGTGCAGTGGGAGGTGGTGGAGTCCATGACACAAGCCTTTTCCTGCCTAATTGCTGAGCATAAAGGTGGACATCCTCACTTTCATGACTTGTAATTTCAGATGTGAAATGAGGGAGCAGGTTTCCATGCCTGAGTTAAAGGCACTGAGGCACTTC